GATACTATCTCTCGTTAAAAAAGAGAAAAAAAAACACAAATTTCTCGAAATTCATCTCTTTCTCAAAAAAAAAAGATCCACGTTCTATTTATTATATTACTTTTACATTTCCAACAAATTCACGATTTATTATTCTCTCTAAAAAAAAAAAAAAAAAAAATAAAATGTCCTCGAAACATCCGCCGCTTTTAAAAGGTGATCATCGTAGGTAGCCAGCCAGCGAGGCTTGCCGATTAGAAATCAGCCGCCGCTGATCAATCGTCGAAACGTCGAGAAGTACCATGGAATCGTCGTGGCCGATCCATCGGTTTCGACGACGCGGTACGGTGAGGATCTACTTACGCGGGTGCGAAGGGATGCAGGGCCGTAGCCGCAGCGGCGGCTGCGAGCGGCCCCGGGTTCCTGGCGAGGGCTAACGCTGCCGCACTGGTCGGGAATGTCGCCCTCGCGGCGCCCACTCTTCCACGCTGGATCGCGACGCCTCTCAACGCTGCGGCTGTAACAACACACACGAACGCACATGCGAATGCTTGCCTACCTTGTTGGCGCTTTTACAAGCGTCATCTCATCGATGGACTGGTCACTGTTGCCGGCCATAACCGTTGCTCCTTTCCTCTCCCTCCATCTTTACTTTAATGAAACATTCGTCTTTTAGTCGGAGAGGAACTTGTCAACCCGAAGGCGATGACGAGACGAGGTCCGACGACTTTCATTTCTTTCTGGCAATTGAGAGAGCCCGGGGAAGCTTTCGATCGATAGAAGGATTGAGGGTAGAGGACGTTCTGCACTCTCGTTGTGCACGAAGAAGACGCGGTCTCTTCCCTTGGAAATTTTTTTTTAGTTGGATGTCAACTGGATATAAACTTCTCTTTCTGCAGTTGACTGATCCTCGCGCTACTGATCCTAAATCCTGACACGTTTCTCGTTTTCATCGAGTCGAGTGTTTGACGCTAGCACGTCGTCAACGAGCAAGCTGATCATCAAATACTCGAGAAACAGATAATTAGGGAGAAGCAAATGTAAGAAGTGAGATGGAGGATCATCGAACATTTATTCTGTTATCCACTACTCGAAGAAACGCGTTTAAATATTTGGAAAGAAGCCTCGGAATAGGTGGACGATCATTAAATATTTATTTTACCATCGAGTACACGGGCAACGCGTCAGATATCTGGAAGGAGGGTTGGAAACAAGTGAACAGTATTTGAACATCTATTTTATCGTCCAATATGTCGAGTACACGCCGCATATATTGAAGCCAATATTGGATCGAGTATTATCTGCTACTGGTCGAATATTTGAGAAGAAGCCTAGAAAACAGGCGGATAATCTTTAAATTACATCAAACGATCATTAACCTACCTCGAAGAAGATTTTAATTCCACTTAGAAACACAAGCAAATAGCATAACTTTGTTGCCCGAAAAGTCTCCAAGTCAAAAAGAGTTAATATCTCGGACGAGAAGACGTGATCGAGTAGAGAAGAGCCTAACGTTGAATCGTGCGAATTGTGTGAAATGTCACGACGACGAGCGTTCCAGCGTTCAATGACCAGGGACGTGAACGTTCGGTTGTTCGAACGACAATTAGGAAGAAATCGGGGAGTTGTTCGTCGAGCTCGTTTCGCTGATGGAACACTCGGAAGGGGGTGGTGGCTCTTTCGGTACCCGGAAATGGCTGCATCGGCGGCGTGTCCGGCCTCGATTGATCGCAGACAGGCACACACTCGGCCTTTCGATCCGGACGAGCAATAAAAACAGTGATGTTTCTTGCCTACCTTTTGTCCGAGCTGTCACCGGATGTGCGCGCCTGCGTCTCGAACTTAACGCTACTTTAGCGTTGGTACACGTTCAACTTCCGCCTCGAAGGGATCAAGAAGCGCTCGTTTCACTATCGTTGTGTCTATTGTTTCTTTTTCTCACTGGGGTGAAAGTTCACAAATAGGGAGCAAGCGAGGTGCTTCTTAGCTAGCGTTTCTTAATCATTGTAATTCAGTTCCGTCGGATGAAGTACAGTTTTGTCGAGGTTTTTGGCATTAATTCAGATATTATGTCTGTCACTGAGTCGAGAGAGCAATATGCATTAGATTGGTTCAAATTTGTGCCAAATCTTCTGTTGTATTAAGAAATTTGTCGTGAATTATGCATGAATTATGGTAAAAATGTTCGAACTTCATCCATTAGTCACTACAGCCGATCAAAACAGTCCTTCGATTTTCTTTATGAATTCGTCACTTTGGAACTTTCACTCGAGGATTTTTGAATTTCTGTAATTGATGACTCGAGTCGTGCAAATGTAATTGTTGATAATTACAATCAAATTAAAATAATATCGTTGAGATACAGATAACTAGATTATCGAAATTTAGGAGTTTCATTATAACAATGTGAAAAGTAATTGTTGCGATGTATTATTTAGTTAATTATTAAATAAACGAAATGGAAAATAAATTCAGTCACATGCCGGATTAATAATAAAACGAAACTCAATAGTGACGAAATTTTCAAATTTCTCTTCGAATGATCCATCTCTTTGTTCCCTTCGAGAAACGGAAGCCACCGCGTCGATCGGCACAAAATTGAGGTACGAAATGACTGGCGCAGCTGGTCACAGGCTAGAAAACTTGATACAACGAGCAACAACAACAATCATCAACAACAACAACAACAACGGAATAATTATTAAAAACAATCAACTACCGTGCAAAGTGTCGCACGTGTGGTTAGCGCGAGTATAAAAAAAAAAAAAAAAA